TCCGATCCATTTTGGATCTCACGCCGGAGAGTTTTGGGGTGTCTTAGCTCTAAGTCCTCCACCGCCCAATGGGGGATTTTAGTATTCTTTTTAATGCCGTACCAATAGGCATTAACCTTAGGTAAGCTTGTGCTTACTTTGGACTGTACCCTCCTCATCCTCTCGGGGAGGTAGAGCGGGGGGGGGCGCATAGCCTCTATTTTACGGCATTCTCGAATTGTCCCCTCACTACACTTACTGTGGAATTTCAGTATACGGCTATCTTTACTCAACGCGTTCATGTCCAGCAATCTCCAATACAAACCAACCTGTGAGGTTTCAGTATGCAGCTTTCGTCACTCAATGCGTCTATGTGTCCGGGAGTCGCAAACGTCACTCAACCCGTCAGGTCTCAGTATGCAGCTTTCCTCGCTCAAAGCGTCTGTGTATGTGTCTGGCACTATCCAACATCACTCAACTCGTGAGGTTTCAGTCTGTAGCTATCCCCACTCAGCGCGTCTATGTGTCTAGCAAACTCAAACAACAATCCATCTGTGAGTTTTCAGTATGCAGCTATCCTCACTCAACACGTCTAAGTATCCGGCAATCTCCTACATTGCCCAACCTGTGAGGTTTCAGTATGTGTCTATCCTCACTCAGCGCGTCCATGTGTCCGGCACTATCCAACATCACTCAACTCGTGAGGTTTCAGTCTGTAGCTATCCCCACTCAGCGCGTCTATGTGTCTAGCAAACTCAAACAACAATCCATCTGTGAGTTTTCAGTATGCAGCTATCCTCACTCAACACGTCTAAGTATCCGGCAATCTCCTACATTGCCCAACCTGTGAGGTTTCAGTATGTGTCTATCCTCACTCAGCGCGTCCATGTGTCCGGCACTATCCAACATCACTCAACTCGTGAGGTTTCAGTATGTAGCTATCCCCACTCAGCGCGTCGATGTGTCTGGCAAACTCAAAAACCAATCCATCTGTGAGGTTTCGGTATGCAGCTATCCCAATTCAACGCGTCTATGCGTCTGGCAAACTCAAAAACCAATGCATCTGTGAGATTTCCGTATGCAGCTATCCTCACTCAATACGTCCATGTGTCCGGCAATCTCAATCACAAATCACCTGTGAGGTTCAATATGTGTCTATCCTCACTCGATGCGTCTATGTGTCCGGCACTCCAAATCACTCAACCCGTGGGGTTTCAACATGCAGCTATCCCCACTCAACCCGTCCATGTGTCTGGCAATCTCAAACCTCACTCAACCCTTAAGGTGTCAGCATACAGCCATAATCACTCAACACGTCCATGTGTCCGGCAATCTCCTACATTATTCAACCTGTGAGGTTTCCGTGAACAGCTATCCTCACTCCACTCGTCCATGCGTCACGCGTCTCTGGTAGCGCATACTATGGGGGCTATATTTGGGGTGGCGTGTTTTACAGCGCTTTGCCAACAGCGCCAACCCACTTGAGATGGGGGAGGAGGAACTAATTCAACAACACACGTAGTTCGCCGCTTTGCGAAGGGTTTTCGCGGCTGTGTACTGTAGATCATGAACACTGGACGGCAACAACCAGGAAGATCGAACCACACCATAGCTCAACACGTAGGCCGGGGCAAAGCATTGCACGATACAACAATGGCAGCAGCCGTAAGCTTTGGTGGGCCTCAAGTGTACCGTTGGGTGCCCGTAACACACGGCCGGCACAGCAGTTGCGGCCCACCAGCAAGAAAAGCGTAGTTAATGAGGCTGGGCCATTCGCGAAAGGTAAGGAAAATGGTCTAAGAAACACACCTTAGCCGTGGATCCTGCACTTCCACCTATATAACAACCTACGCTTGATGGTGGAGACGAAATGAGAAATAGACTAAAGCATCTACCCCAAATTTAACCTTCCTTACTGACAGCGCGCAACTGCTGTATATTCAATCACCTGCCGGCCTTCCACAGCCCACCCAAGCACAGGTCTTGTTCGAACACGGTGGGAACCAGATTCGCCTGCCAAGGACCGGGCCGACATCACATCATGCATTGCACGATTCCTTGTGAGCCCTTAAATGATCCGAGCTTTCATGTGGTGGGCTTGATCGGGTTGGTTGAGTCGGAAAGGAGCTACAGTAGAGGTCCCTGTTTAAGGTCGCAAATTTAAGGCCGGTGGCCCTTTTTAAGGCCGGTGAAATCGTCTGTCATACTTGCCTTCCTTTTTAAGGCCGCACAGGCCTTAAACAGGCATAGTCCTTATTTAAGGCCGATTAGGGCGTCCGCGCACCCTATATAAGGCCGGTTTTGGTGTGACGCACCCAGTTCTTCGGCAGCATTATTCAAGCCGCAACACAACCACTCCACAGACCTACACAACAGCAATACCTAGCGTACCCCTACCGACCCAACCAGTAGGGGCACACATGCCTTGTGCGGCTGGTGAGCTGTGCCAACTGCCAGACCAGACGCCAGTAGCCCCTCACGGCCACCAATGTCACGGAGGGTGTGGCGGCAGACTGCACGGACTGTGTGGGGAACAAGACCAAGATGCCGAGTACGAAACCGCCCGCATCTGCTTTGCATGCATTGCCTCCAAGCAAAAGGGTAGTAAGTCCTCGACAGCTGGCAAGGGCAAGCGCAAAGGGTCAGCCACGGAGAGCGGACACACGGCAAGACTAAAAAAAAACGAAACCAGCCAACCACCCGGACATGACTGGTTCGCGCACGCGGATGGACATCGGCACCAAGATGGAGATCCTCCGTCTGCTGGACAAGGGCACGCGGACGCAGAAGTCGATCGCAGAGCAGTTCAACTGCGGGGAGCAAACGGTGCGTACCGTCAAGGCTGAGCGGGCGAAGATAGAGAATCAGGCCGCCAAAACTCGCAGCAGCGCCACCACCAGGAAGAACCTTCGGGCGGGGGATTTCCCAGAGGAGAGCTCGGACGACGAAGCGGGCGAGGAACCCTCAAGTCATATGGCACCTCCGCCGTACGCGGCACTTTCGTCGCACTTCGGGGCTCTGGAGACGGCAGCGGAGGGGAGCGGCAACCGTGACGCCGCTTTCCATCTACAGAAGGCCAAAATGGCAATGATCGCAGCGCATGGTTCGAAGGCAGCGAGGCAGACAGACATGAGGCAATTTTTGTAGACTCGATAGGCGCATGGGGGGAGGCGTCAGTTGAGTGGTTCTCCCGGGTCCGGTGTCGTGTCCGGTTTCATCCTTGCATTTTCAACTTTCTTGTGCCGTTGTTAGTGTATCAGGGGGTAGAGAGGTCGGGCTGTTCGATTTTTTTGTCGACTTTGTGTTTGACGGGTAAGCACCAGTTGGTCAGTTGGTGCAACATGTGCATTTTTCGATGGTTGTTGTGTTGTGCAGATCGTTGGACTTTTTGCTGTGGGCGTCCTCTCATTCTGATCAGGATTGGCAGTATTGTTGTCGACCTTCACGAGGGAGCCACTCGATGAGATACTTCGCACGTACCAAGTGAAATACATATTTTTGTGGACGTCAGCTACTACGGCAGCAAGTAATATTTGGAAACATGCAACATCATTTTTTGTCACGACGTATGCGGCTGTATAAATCTGTACATGTATAACGTGCATCCTGCGAGCCTTCAGACACGTTGGGGCCCGCCACCTTCCCGAAAGGCTTGAGTGCAGCATCAGCATTCCTCAATAAGGCCGGTACCGGCCTGAAACAAGACCCGTTTCCAATAAGGCCGGGTTCCCTCCCTCTTTAAGGCCGGTCATTTCGTCTGTCACAGGGCGGCCTTAAACAGGGACCTCGACTGTATTTACCATTTGCTGACGCCGAGTTTATCCGCGCACCAGAGAGAGAGAAAGAGAGAGAAAGAGAAAGAGTGGAAGTGCGGTATCCTATTATTGCCTCAAAATCTGACCACGGATTGCCAAGACAGCTACGGTAGTATGTCTACTTCTGCTTTGGCACGTTTCACCGCGGCTGGAGTCGGGGGCGGAAATGCTTCACAACATGTATCGCATGGAGCTGGCCGTTCGACTGTTACGCGCTGTGTGATCGCTTGTCTATGTCCCAAAACAATAGTGTTCCTGCTCGTTGTGGTATACGACGAACGCACATTGTGTACACACGAATAGCTTTCGAGTGTACCGTATATGACACAAGATAACACACCCCCTGGACCGATTTTCAAAGCTCGATTACTCCACGACGAAGAGGATGCATAAACGAAACGATACATTTTCGAAAAGCTCTTGACGAGACGGTTTCAACGCCGCCATTTTCGACGCTGTGACTGTCCCTGCAGTTGAGAAATCGAGCTTCAAAAAGTGGGCGAAGGGGGTGTCTTATCTTGTGTCATATACTGTATTCTCGGGAGTTGATCCAAACAGCAGGTGCGTTCCTCCCCCCCTGGAACTCTCTTGAGCCGCCCTGCCTCTCACCTCAAGGCAAGCCTTAGCAGAAGCCAAACCACTGGGACCTCCACCGATTATTGCCACCTTCGTCATCACTGCTGCTGCAGCAGGATGTGTGGCGTGCCAGGTGCCCCCCCCCGCGCCAGGGTCGTGGGGTGTGCCGTCCCCGCGAGCGGAGAGAAACAATCATGAGTCGCCCGGCGCAAGCATGCCTCCTTGGCTGGACCCCCCGGGAAAAGATTCTGCGTACCCCCTCCACCGGCGGCCAGCGCGGCCAGCAACAGAACAGCAAGGAGCAGGGAGACAACCAACAAGTAGTCCCCCACCGTTGCAGCTAAAGCCTTGCAATCATGCCGGGAGACAGTGAATCAGCCAAGCCGGAGAAGGTGAGTGCGTGCGTGGCGGTTTCGGGGGTTTTCCCATCGCAGAATAAGGATATAGTTGCGAGTGGTTGGCTGCTGTGGATCGGGACCCTCGTTCCAACGGGTGTGTCCATTGCTCATCGCGCAACTAGCGCGGCTGGACACAGCAAGAAGTCGTGGTGCTATACACAGCACGCACTGATGTAGGTTTCAGCCCCCCCTGGCTTGCGCCACAGCAGTACAGGTCGACCACTATTTTAGTTTGAACTCTCGCGTTTTTCCAACCTCGTCGCTTGTGACGGGACAGCGTGACCGGGAGGAGGCAGAGCCTGTGCCGGCCACCGTGGTAGCGGGTGCGGCGGACATCCCAGCGCCCGCGGCGAAGAAACTCAAGGTCAGTATTCTGGTTGGGTTAGGGGGAGCGTGAGGAATAAATCAGTAGCCTTGCTGTTTGTTATTACTCATGTGAAGTGCATATCCATAAACTTGTCTCCCTCATCGTAGAGGAGGTGCTTTTTGATCCCTGCCGTTAGACCCACGCAATGATCGATCCCGTTACGTACCTGTTGGTCACAAGCACACGGAGACATGTGGAGTGTTGCAGGTGGAGTGCCGTGCAGTTGCGATCCACGTGGTACGTCATCGCCGCGAGAGGAGGAGGAGGAGGCCCAAAAGCGAAGTCAGAGTTTAATTTTTGCAGCGAGGCACGGTCCCCCCTCCTTTTCCAAGCATACTTCATGTTTGGAGGAAACGTTCTCGTTGGTTGGCGTTGATCGTCGTTTCGACCGTTACAACCCTCTCGTAAATGTAGATAGAGAACTACAGGGGATGTATTGTACAATGTAGGTTACCTCTACAGATGTTTTTGTACTCTAGCACCAGCTGGTATCACTGATATAAATCATCAGTGTATAGACTTAGATACCGTAGGTTACACAAGATAACACATCCACGTAAGAAACCACACCCCCAACAGAATACGACACACCGGTGATAATTTTGGGCGTTTCTGACAAGCCATCAATTCATCACCGGGGCTACACAAGATAACCTACCCCTGAGGTTACGCCGAATACATTTACGGGGCTCCTCCTGGGGTGATACGAGATCTGCCCCGTGGGCATGTGGGCGTCTCCCACACACAACATCTGCGTAACTCTCTTGTGGTCGTACCCAATAGCAAGGTATGCAGCAGCCTACGCTTCTGTGTGAGGGGGCAGGACGGATGGCGCACTTTGGCCACCGAGTCATGTGCCCAGGAGTTTCGTCACCTCCGTTGAGCTCCTTCGTTTTACCACATCTCGCAGACCCACAAGTCATTAAGTGTTCGTACAGGCATTGTTATCACACACCCACAATACCAAGTGTGCGGCAGCAGCGGTTCAACTCTACAAGTAGCGTTACATTAAGCCGTTTTTTCACACATCCTCATTATCACACCCTCAAACACGCCCTGTGGGTGTTCGGAAGTGCTATCACACCCTGGCCCGGTGTATCACTCACCCTTTAGGGCCTCTGCGAGCTGCACTCTATCACCCGGGCTACATGAGATATCACACCCCCCCACAGGATACCACACACGGCGATATCATAGTATATTTATAGCCCAAAATGTCATCACCGGGATGTGCTATCTTGTGTCGTCTACGGTAGACTCGAAATATGTCCAGCACCCAGCCGGTTCTCCTCCACTCACTGACAAGACTCCAACCACATCCCGTTCAAATGTGGGTATGTCTCGAACGGGTGAAATTTCTGTGTGTGTAGTTCGTCGAATCGCTCCGACAACAATCCCGCGTGAGAAGATTCCTTGAGAATTTTCGATCGGAAACCGGTACGGCGCCGCGACCTCAGTCTGTTTCAGAGATAGCAGCAAGGCTCAAAAGACTGGTCATGTCTCGTCGGCATGCTTGTTGCCTTTTTTCCAAGTCTCCACACCAATTGTTGCACCGGCCCTTGCAGGTTTACCTCGCACTTCAAGTTGTACTCCGATTCTGGTTCGTTGCCGTGTGTCACAGAGACAGCTAAGGATCCCACCGAAAAACGCACCTTTGTCACTCCCACGATGCAGTGGTGCTTGCCGTCGAGCTAACACCGCCAACAATGGACAACTCCTTGCGGAAATGACATTTTTTGGTGCTCGATCTTCATCTTCATGCCGCAGCCTGGTTTCGAAGCCACCTCCATAGTTTTTTTTTCTTGTCTTGTCGTTTGGGTGGAAAAAACAAATCGCGCCTTCGAGGAATATTTTCTGGTGTCCATCTTTTCTTTTTCCTTTGTTTCTTTGAAAGGTGTACCCCCCTTTTGGTGGGGGCAGTTGGCTTGTGACCACGGAAGGCATCCGCGTCAGTTGACCAGTGCGGACATCAGAAGGTACTGAGCGGAGACCGAAACGGTTTTTAAGGTGAAGACAACAACAACCACGGCTCTTACCATTTAGTCAACACCGCCAACAATTGACACGTCCTTGCGAAACTCTCGGGTGTGCTGTTTTTGGTCTCAATTATTCCACCACAGCATGATGGCGAGGTTGCCTCCCTGATGTACCACGCCTGCAGTTCTTACCATCGACCCTGACAGTTGACGCGTCCTTGCGAAACTCTCTTGTGTTTTTTTGTCTCAATCGTCACACCGCAGCCTAGCTCCGCCGACATTGACAAGTCCTTGCGAAACTCTGTTGTGTTTTTTTGTCTCAATCGGTACATCTCAGCCTGATGATGCGGCGGGCACGGATACCCCAGCGGTTGCTGCTGCTGATGCCGCTGCCGCTGCCGCTGCCGCTGCCGCTGCCGCCGCGCCTGCGGAGCCCGCCAAGGTATGCTTTACGAAACCTATGCACATTACCCTTTTCTTTATGTGGAATGTCAATCGAACGCAAGCACCGCAAAGCCGTGGAAGGAGAGGAACTACATGTAAGTCCTACCCGGCAGAAATGGTGTGTGTTGCTGTGTGTGTGAGCGCTGATTCAAGAGTGATGAAAACGTTGTGACTTCATTCTCGCGTTGGTTTTGGGCGTGATGTCTTGTCAAGCGTCCGGCCGCAACTCTCTGAAAACGTCCAACATTTCACTGTGCAAGCATGGGGTCCGTTGACAACGCTCTCGCTCGTCGTACAGCCTGCTAGCGCCGCAGGGGATGCTGACGTGGCGAAGTACTATGACGCACCTGTGTTGCAGCGGCTGTTGATGTATCTTTTCTTTTTTTTTGTCGTACCCGCGTGCGGGGTGTGTTGCGGCGTTCTCCTACAGTACTCTGCCCGCCTATGTTGCCCGTTAAATGGATACTGAAGAAGCACCCGCTTGGTGGAACAAAGCGTGGTGCCGCTGACATGGTGTGTCTGGATTATCATGAAACGACAAGAGACTCTACGGTTGCCTTCGTAAGGCACAGCGATATGGAGGGACTTTTAGTCCGACAGAGCTGTACCCGTGTTTCGCAAGAGGTTCATTCGTCACTCCCCGTCTCGCCTAGCGTTTTGCCCTGCGCGTCTCGCAGTCATTCGGTTGATCCGGTAGCTTCTGCTTCGTTCGCTCACCGCGATCCGCCTACGTTTCACGATGTATCTCGTGATGCATCTAACCATGTAGATATCTTCCGAAGTAGTCTCACGATGTATCTGGACACTCAAATCACCACGAGCGGGTCACACACGACAATTACTTCACAAAACGAGATATGGTACATGAACGAACGCCAATTTACGCGTGGGTAATCACGAAAGTGGTTATGCGGGGAAATATTGCTGGAGCCGGTGCCTTAGGCGGGGCCTGCACGCTTGTCTGAGCCCTGTGCTGAGCGCGGGCGTGACAGCCTTCCTCTCGAGGGTAAGAGTGCGAACGCGTAGAGTTGCCGCCCAGAGTTGTGGCGTGCCATGTGAGTAAACCTGTAGCTGCCGTTGCTACCAACAAGCCAAACCGCAACCATTTTTTTCTCGTCCTCTACGACTCCTCTCCGGACTGGTTGGACCAATCCTCTCACTTTTTCCCGCTTGCCACGGCGGCTTGAAAGCTTGGTCCATGTTTCGCTCGACATGACCCTACCAAGAGCACGCGCCTCCTTATTGAGCACGTTTCGTGTGATGCTGTGGTCACTGTAACAGCACAGTGCCCGCACAATCCGTATGACTGGCGCCATGGCCATCGTCCTTTTGGGCAATGATGCCCTGCTGGCGACCCCTTGGCGATTCGCTTGGAGCGGCAGGAACCGATTTGTGCTCGAGTCGGTGTCGGAGAGATTCGACGCGGTCTTGGTTCAAGCGAGTGAAGTTGCCCTTGTCTGTGTCTTGCTATTCCGTACAGCAGATGCGCTCCTGTTTGTTCGCATGATGCTCTGCTGTTGCGGCTTCCAGCAAGGGGTGTCTGCCTTCTTTGCGGTGGGCACCTCTCCAGTTCATAGAACACCCGTAATCTGGACGCCGTAGAAGTAGAGAATCATGCGGGCAAACAGGAGGGCGGCCGCTGTTGTGAACAGCGGGACATGGACAAGTGCAATTTCGCTGGCTTCTACCAAGAGCACGTCAGATGTCTCGTTATTTGCACCGACCCAATCACCAATCGCCTCCGGCAGGGCGTCGTTGCCGTGAAGGGTGACGGACGGCACGCGTTCGTTGAGGTGCTGGAGGTGACGTAAGATATCACACCCCTTGACCGATTTGTCAGAGCTCAGCTACTCCCCGACCAAGAACATCTGTAATCCATACGATGTGTTTTCGGAAAGATCTCGACGGGACGGTTCCACCGCCGCCGTTGTCGGCAACGCTATTTTTTCTGCTGTGGAGAAGAAGTGGAGCTTTCAAAATCGGTGCATGGAGTGTGGTATCTTGTGTCATACACGGCAGTCTTGTGTCATACACGGCAGTCTACAGTTGCGGCTGTTGCCTTGCCTGAATCGTTTGGCCGCTTGTAACAGTGCTTCTACGTTCAAAAAATTAACAAGTAGTAACAACAACGTGTAGAGGTGTGGGAGGGTGAATGCCGCTATCTTTGTGGAAATTCGTCGCGTCTTTGGTTCATTTGTCGAGCTTTGGATTTGACTCAGTTCCGTATCCTCGGGTTTCCATGTAGGAATATGCTTATCCTTACCTCGGGGAGGTGGGCCAGCGTTACCGGATTCAAGTGTTGCATATCTAGATATTGGCAGTTGTTGAACGAAGCGTTTACAGTACTGTAGTGTCGGTCGGGGAACAGGAACACCTGCTAGATACTGCTGGGAGTGATACCTGACTGGGCGCACATTTATTTGTTTTGCGTTCGTTCAAGTCCTGCAGCAGTCATACGCCGGTTTGCTTCGTCTCGAAGCAAGAAGCCCCTCCTCGGTATCCCTGCTCTTGTCGACAATGAATTCAAAAATTGAAAATAATCTCGGCAGGGTCGTTTCACGCTGGACGGCCCACGCTTAGAAGGTAAGCTTATTACGAAAAATATCACGCAGACCCTAGCCCTAACGGTAGCGCCCAACCCCAACTTAGCCATTTCATTACTTTGTCCGACATGTCTGCTTACTCAGAAAAGACCTGCCAAGACTGTTGTTCATGCTTCATCTCAATTTGATTTTGTTTGCTTGGTTGAAAACGGAATGCAGGCCGCTGCAGTAGCGGCGTCCGCTACTCCGATGGAGGAGGAGAAGGAGGGAGAGGAGAAGGAGGAAGAGGAGAAGGAGGAAGAGAAGAAGGGAGCGGAGAAGGAGGAAGAGGAGAAGAAGGGAGAGGAGAAGGACAAAGAGGAGAAGAAGGGAGAGGAGGTCAAGGTTAAGGTCAAGGTTGAGGCGGAGGAGAAGGAGAAGGAGGAAGAGAAGAAGGGAGAGGAGAAGGACAAAGAGGAGAAGAAGGGAGAGGAGGTCAAGGTTAAGGTCAAGGTTGAGGCGGAGGAGAAGGAGAAGGAGGAAGAGAAGAAGGGAGAGGAGAAGGACAAAGAGGAGAAGAAGGGAGAGGAGGTCAAGGTCAAGGTTAAGGCGGAGGAGAAGGGGGAGGAGGTTAAGGTCGAGGTGAAGGTTTCTGAGCAAGGGGCGGAAGATAAGGTCAAGGAGGCGGAAACCGCCGCCCTCAAGATGCTCGAGTTTTACTTCGGTGACTCCAACTTCGGTTGGGACCGCTTCATGCAGAACAAGGTGCGGTAACGGTAGTGTACGGTTTGCCATGCATGCATGGAGTGTGGTAATTGCTTTGCGCTTGGCTGCAGGTAGATAGTAGTCCATTTGCTAGTTATGGGGTATGGCAATTGCTGTACGCCTGAATGCGAGGAGCGATCGATTTGCCCTTTATGGGGTCTGGTAAGTGCTGTACGCCTGAATGCGGGGAGCGATCGATTTGCCCTTTATGGGGTCTGGTAAGTGCTGTACGCCTGAATGCGGGGAGCGATCGATTTGCCCTTTATGGGGTCTGGTAAGTGCTGTACGCCTGAATGCGGGGAGCGATCGATTTGCCCTTTATGGGGTCTGGTAAGTGCTGTACGCCTGAATGCAGTGCAGCTCTTGGCAACTCCTCTGCGGTGGCGTTGTGGCATTCGGCTTTTGTTGTCGTCAAGGCTCCCAGGGGTGTCGCAAAGACGATTTGACAAATGATCCCATCTCGCTGCGGTCTTGAATTTATTGATTTCTCACCCTCAACTGCTCTCGTGGAAAGCACTATATTTCATGTGCGGGAGGGAACCGGGTTGCCTACAGCAGGGTGTTGCAGGCGGGACAATATAGAGTGGTGGTATCGCGGGTGGATGCTTGGCTTGTTAATATAGGTGGCAATACAACACTCACTCCGTTGTGGTTGGGAGGGTATTTGCTCCTGCTGTAGTTGAGTGCGTAGATTTCCCTCGTTGCTCTCGTTGCTTCCGACTGAACTGGGGAGTATGTTCCCACAAGATGCTTGACTTTGGGTGTTGACTGCTACTGCTGCTTTTTCGTGTTTCACTGCTGTGATTCTGTCCTGCTTTTTATTTTTGATGCAGGCGGGCAAGATGGGCGAGAAGTTGATGGACATTTCTGTCCTCATGACGTTCAACAAGCTCAAGAACATCGTGAAGAAGGCCGACCTTTCCCCGGAGGAGGCCCAAGCCTTGGTGAGCTACGTGCAGACAGCGCCCCTACACCAAGAAGTATCCTCTAGTTTTGGCCAGGCTGGGGCTCTTTGTTCCCCTTATGGGCTACAAATGGCCGGCAGCTTATTCAAGTACCAGGCTGGGATTCCTGAAACGGGCTCACAAATGGTGCTCAAGCTCTTAGATTATTGAGTGTTTTGAGGCTATATCAATTTGTTAGCTGCTAAGCTCCTACGCGCGGGCGCTTCCTGCACTGCTGTCGACGTATTGATCATGGGGGGTTATGTTACGAAGGGCCGCCATATTGGTTATAGCGTCGTGATGCTTGAACGGGCTCACAAATGGTCTTTTGAGTTTCCTTAGGCAGCATCAATCTTTTCACTGCCAAGCTGCTAAGCACAGGCGCGATCTTTCTAGTTGTAATCGTCGCGAGACAGACACACCGGTGTTTGCCAAAGATGAAAGTCTTCCTACTCTCTCCTCCCCAGTGTTTTTTCCGATCGCACTGATAAAATAAAATAGGGCATGTAGCACCGGAAAACCCCTTTTCAGCGCCGCTATTCCCCAACAATGAAAGAATGTTATGTAGTCGTGCGAGCGACAAAGCACTAGCGGCCTCATTTATGGGGCAGACATTTTGAAGTTGTGACTAGAGATGCCCTATGTTTTACCGTCGGTGACATGACGTGAGATATCACACCGCCAAAACGGATTCCCAATGCCCGATTTATCCACAGCAGAAAGAGTTTCGGTGCCAGAAAACGGCGGCGTTGGAGCCGTCTGTGTCGTCCATTCGAGAGATAGGTCTCCGAAAACGCTTTTTTGTTGCGTTTTCATTTATGTATCCTCTTGGTCGTGGAGTAGGTAGTGGAGCTTTGAAAATCGGTTTGGTTTCTTGCGTCACGTGCGGTGTGTTCGTCTGCGTCTCCCCGCGAGGGACGACCCACCCTGCGCCTCCTCTTGTAGTAGTTAATTCAATTTCCATCGGTGAACCCCCCCCACCCGCGCACTGCTGTCTTGGTCTCATAACACGTCAAACTGTTGTTTTCCCCACTGCACTGCAAGCACAAGACACCCCCAAGATTGCGCGGGACCTCTCTCACCCGGCCTTCACATGCGCGTACCCCCCGATTCGACTGTTGTCCTGATCTCTTAAACTCTCGCTTCCCCGCTGCACTGCAAACACACGAAACGCGACGATACTACGTGCCAAGATTGCGAGGGTGGGAGAGGCGTCGCCGTCCCTTCGCGTGAGCGAGGACAAGAAGCAAATCGGGCGTGCTGCGGCCATGACGGAGGAGGCCGGAAAGGAGCGCATCGCCCGCACCGTGCAGGTGCTGTCGCTGTGGCTATTGCTTTCGCTGGATTGGGGTTGGGAATACAACCTTCAAGCTAGCGACGCAGGGCTACTAGTGGAATCAGAAGAGCAGTAGTTTCCGCCTCGTGCAGGCGCTTAACTGTATGGGCTGGGGTTAGGAATGCAGCCTCCAAGCTAGCGACACACGGCTAGTGGGATGAGAGGAATCGTACCTTTTGAACTTCCTGTACCGTATGCATAAATTGCCGTCGGTTCGCTTTCCAAGCGGCGCTGAAAAGTTCCAAGACTACTACAGCGTCCGCTATCGGAGACGTTGAAGGAGCAGCCTACAAGGCTACCGACGCACGGTTATTATTACAGGAGTGTGCTTTTTCGTGGCATCGTTTGTTCTGGGTGCCAGCCTATGATACGGAATTGATTGGTGACTGTCACCAACCGGGGTCACGCCCAGGAAGCACGTATGAGGAATGTATATTACGCGGGCGTAAACGCCCTATTTTTGAGATCGCTTGCCAGTTAGTCGTCCCGTCAACAAACGCCGTATTCAATAACAGCTTAGTTTTGTGCGTCTCTTTCGCGCTTTCTGCTACTACTGCTGCTGCTGCTGATGCTGCCGCAGACCAAGGGATATCCCAAGGAATCGTCGATCAAGATCGAGGATGTGGAGAAGCTCTTTTCCGACGCCGGGAAGGCCAACTACGTCAAGATCTGCAAGGCCGGAGGCAACAAGCTCAGTAAGTCGCTTGGTCCACTTTCTACGTGGCTCTGTGTGCTTGTGATTATTGTTCGGTAGTGATGTTGACGGCTTGGTCGTTGTCGTTGCCAATGTCGTTGTCGCCGTAGGTAACGAGCTCGTTGGTCGCTTGGTTCACTTCCACACGGCGTTGTTTTCTTGGATGTGTTCGGTAGCGATGTTGACGGCTGTGTTGTCAAATTTGTTATTCATGTTGTAGGTGGTGGTGTTTTTGTCGTCGTTAATTGAACAATCGTTGTGATTTTCATGGCGGTGGCGTATTGTTGTGGTTGATGTCGCTCTTATCGTCGTCGGGGCCATGCTCCTTTCTTTCGTTGCCGCTCCACATTCAACAACCGTTGAACACAACATTCATTCCTCCCCTTGTGGTACTGCAAGGTACAGACAAAATCATTTCGAGCACAGTCTTCAGAACAGTCCTCAGCTATATTCACACTCGTAGAACCTGCATGGCACCCAGGCGCCGGCCAGTATTTGAACCGTTCCGGAACATTGCAGCAGGCCGGACGAACACACGCACCCAGGCAATCTCTCAGATTTTCCCAGCGCACGAGCAGCGACAAGGATCACCGTAGAGGTTCGTCATTTTTTTTTTTTGTCTCACTTCGAATCAGCACTCACAACACTGGTGCCGTTTAGATACTCCAACCCGTGGTCACACAGAAGGGCCCCTCTCTACCCTCCCCTCCTGCTGTACGTTGCCTTCGATCATTTACGCCGTTGTTTTCGGCGAACACGCACTGAATTTCCAAGGCATTCTCGGTAGTTTGAATAGTGCCGGTGAAGAATTTTCTTGGCAGATACCGGCACTAAGTAGGGATCTCTACTGCACTTGGATTGGAGACCAGAGTGGAAGATGTGGCGGAAACAAAGGGGGACGTACGTGAACTAAAGAAGTGCCAGCAGAGAGCTCCAAGCGTCACGGCTTGTGCGCCTTTAACACACAAGAGCAATGACCATCCCTGCGGCAGAGACGATCATTGCTGTCGTCTGTTTGAGGAGCTCACGCCGTGACGCTTGGAGCTCTCTGCTGGCACTTCTTTAGTTCACGGACTACCCCTTTCGTTTCCGCCAAATGTTTGCCTCTCGGTCTCCTTGGTCTCGAGTCCAAGCACAGAGCTTGTCCCTGCTAGTGCGTTCGAAGAATCTGAAATTATGATGTGCTGAGTGTGTGTCATCGGCCGGCCTGCTGCAACATTCAAGAACGGCGACAGACGCAGTATTCGGGTAGCGACCACCCGCGTTCCCTGCTACAAAGTCGCGCCTTGGTAGGATTTTTTTCTGGTGTCCATTTTTTTATTTTGGGTGTACCCTCCCCTTGGGGGCAGCTGGCATGTGACGACGGAAGGCGTCCGCGTCAGCTGGACCAGTACAGACGTTAGAAGGTACTGAGCCGAGACCGGAACGGTTTTTAACGTGAAGGCAACAACGACAACAACTACTACTCCCGATGGTAATGTCGTGGCTCCGATATATGACGGTCGAGGACCTGTCTCACACCACTCTATTTGTATCGCAGCCACGACTGTTTCTAGCCACAGTAGGCAAGAGTAGCATATTTCGACGCACCAGGGGGGGTGTCTCCGCGAGACTGAACGAGAAATGCTTGTGGGCAAAGAACACGGGTTTATTCATACCCGCCGCGGGCTAATACTGTACTCCCCGTCAGCGCCAAGCATGTGGGTTCGATTGGTGTGGCTTCATCATATGTGAATATTCTGCTGTGTTTCCGTGCGAGGGATGTGGGATCCGAGGGCGTTACATAGTATCATATTTCTTTGTGCATGTGTATGATTTGTGCACAGTCGTGAAGGGTTCACTGTTCGACGTGTTGGGTAAGCCACCGGTTCTGGTCGCCCGAGGCCAAAAGCCAGAGAGACCTCTGGCAGATACCAGCCAGGCCGGCGCAAGAATTGAACCCTCAGCAGTGCTTGTTGATGTTGATGTTGTTTTTCTTGGTGTGGACGGTGTGAAGTGAAGCTCTTGTGTGGGTTGTACCCTTTGTTTTGAATGACTGGTACCCTTCTGTTGTGTGAACTTGTACCCTGTTCTGTGTGTCGTGTGCCCTTGTAATATTGTGTCAGATGCAACCTTTTTTTGTGAAAGGTGTAACCTGTAAAATGTGACTTGTACCCTTTTTTCCCTCGTCCGTGATTTGTCTCCCGGCATGACGTGACATGGCATGACATGATATGCAGCATCGATCTTCGTGGAGTTCGACAAGAAGGAGGCCGCCGACAAGGCTGTCGCACGTTCGGAAGACTATTTCTACGAGGGAGAACCCATCGCGGTAAGGAGCACCTTCGTACAGCAGTACATGCACCACCGTACACAAGTCGCAATTGGGTAAGCAGGCAGGGGCCAGGTTGCCCTCCCACTGCCGTTGTTGGCCTCTTATCGGCGGGCACAGACACTACCGTGAAAGGGCTAAATTTCTCCGCAACCAGAAGGGTGCGAGCGCCGACTGATTATCCTCAGGAAAGCTCTCGATGAGATATTTCCAAAACCGCCCTTTTCGACAGCAGTGGTAACCTCCAGGTTGTTGAAAAATTACGCTTTGAAAATCGCTCGCACCCCTGTCCCTGTCCCTGTGCTCTAGCTAACTCGCAACCTAACGATAGTCATCGCACACACCCTTGCTTGCAGACCGGCTCCAAGGCCTCAATTGCTACACAGCCAACTAGCCATTGCACACTCCTTGATCGGCTTTAAGAGCTCAAGTGCTCCACAGCCAAATTTACCGTCGAAAATCCCCTTGCTCTGTAGACCGGCTTTTCAAGGTCAATAGCTCCACAGCCAAGAGGCTGCCAAAGTAGCCGAACAGGGTTTGCTGTGAAACGATCTCGTCGAGAGCTTTTTTTAGCATTCCTTGCACGCGCTACCTACCGATTGGGCGTGGCAACTTGGTACCAACTTAGCATTCCTTACACGTGTTACCTGCCGATCGGGCGTGGAAACTTGATACCCTCTTGTTTGAGAAACAACTGGTCTGAGAACATCGGTTTAGGCGGGGTGCCATGACCATATATTTCGCACTGCAGCGGTAACGTAACAGGCGGAGAGATTGGTAACCCTCCAATACTGACTTTCCAAGCTCGATTGCCGCCACAACCGAGGTTGTGCCAACGCCAAAAACGGTGGTTTTGGGAACATTTCGTCGAGGGCTTTCCGCCGATGTATCGGGCTCTTTCCGCACCCCGTTGGTTGTGGAGAAATCAATTGAGCGTTGAAACTCGGTCAATTAGTCGGGGGTGTGCCATCTCTCTGCCTCTTGCGGAATACCACGGTACGGTATTCGGTGCGGTACAGGCAGTCTTGGTTGTGGAGAAATCGATTGAGTCTTGAAAATCGGTCTATAGTTGGTGTGCCATTACTGTTGTAGCGCTGCTGTTGCGGTATTGAAGTCATTGGCTTTGTATACCCCGACGTCGGGCGCCGTTTTGGCAAGGACGCGGTCTATGGTACTTGTTGCTTGTCCGGAGACGTGTGACCACATCGATACATAGGCAAGCTTGGAAGTCAGACCTTATTGCGAGTGACTACGTTTCTCCTCCTCGTTCGCCTTCACGAACGCTGCGCTGCTCAAGTACATTCGCATTCCGAACATGTCGTCACTCACATGCCCTGCGTCTCGATACCATCGGACGAGTTCGCGGTATTGCTGGCTTGTTGTTCCGCCGGCTGAGAAAAACCGTGCCGCGGACTGAACAAATCTCAATTTTCCGTCCCAGCTCAAAAAAAGAACCATGCCGCGGACTGAACAAATGTCAACATGCCGTACCAGCTGAAAAAAAAACATGCCATGGACTCACGAAATCTTCCATACCCGCTGAGACTACCCGTTGGCCTACGGAGCGGGACTGCTGACGGCTTTCAACCTCTGCCCCCTCTTGCCGACTGTACATGACTGAGCTGGGAAAGTAGAAGAAACGTGCAGGGAGGTGTTTGACGCATGACATCGCCAGAAGGCGTTGGCTGTACTGGGGCATAGGAAGTGGGTTGAAAAGGCGGGAGGTGATACGGGTACTAAAGGATAGATAAACACGGGGCGATGTTTTTGAGCCAACTTTGGCAAAGTAGAAAGGAACGATTGGCCATCGGTGATCGGTTCTGTGGGAACAATGCTCCGTCCTCTCGAGGACGCGTGTTCAATCGTCCAAACGCTAAGGCATGCAAAACATAAGGGTACGCCCCCCCCATTTCACCCCGTATTTTGTTGAAGGTGAGACCGGCGAAGAGCGACGAAGAGCGTGCTGCCGCTCACACCGCGCCAGGTGAGTCAATTAGTCCGGTAGTCCATCGACGCGCATGGCAAGGTGATGCCGCCCTGCTTGCTCTCTGATTACCACTGCTGTTGCCCCCTCTTGGATTTCGGTCCTACATAGCGTGTGTGTAAAGGGGAGCGGAGGGCACCAGATTAGCTGTCGTTGATGGAAGCTTGCTTACGGACCCTTGTGGTCGATAACTATTGAGTTTTTTTTTTTGTAAGTTTGCCTGTGACCGCGGGAATCGCTCCGTCAAGAGTTTGATCAGTACGGACAGATCGTGCCCTCTGATTACCACCACTCTCCCTCTCTTTGAGTGCGGGTCGGGGCATCGAAATGATAGGTATGCTGGGAGAGTGGTGTCTGGTGGCCTTTGTACCTGTGCATGTATCCCGGATCAAGTGTTTTCGTATTCCGAAGTGATGCCACGGTTTTTTCGTTTCCCGCATGCATATATACCATACCATGTTTGTATTTCGCTCGGAAACTAACTTTCCCTCGTGAGGGTACGACACATGTAGTGTTTGAAGTATTTGTGCCGTTTCAGCCTCAATCCTACTGTAACATCCTAACCGCTAGCCCCATGACCCTCGTCCCTTTTGAAACTCATCACCTTTCAACCAGCTTCTGAGCCCATTGTCTACGAGGCTGGGAAGATCATTCACGTGAGCTTATTCTGTCCAGTTTTTGTTGTTGTCGGTGGAGTTGGTGTTGCTGCAGCCCACCCAGAACGCCTCCGAAGTGGGGTGTAGCAATGACTTCACCTGGAGCCTGTGATTGCCGTAGGCGACATGACGGAAGATATCACACCCCCTGGACCAGTTTTCAAAGCTCGATCACTTCACAGCAAGAAATAGTCGTGGCGTTGAAAGTGGCGGCCTTGTAAGCGGCTGGCCGAGTACTAGCTTTTCGAGAACGAAGTATCGCTTGTCTTTTTGCCGCTTCGTCGTGGATTACTCGAGCTTTGAAAATCGTTGCAAACGGTGTGGTGTCTTAGGTCACGTGGGCGTCAAGCGTTTGTGTTGATGAACACCTGCTGGATGGCAGTTGGGTGAGCTTTCGCTGAAATGGTTAAAGGTTCGCATCAACTGCTCTGGTAAACTCTCGGTATGACTTATGACGCCCTGTAAATACTGTCGTAGCGAAACCACGCAGATCGATCTCGCAAACCATGGTGTGCGTGCTGGAAGTTCATCGGGCGTGCGTCAATAAATGTGTGTACACGCCATCATACACGTCAACGGTTACGGAACCCTGTTGTGAAACATGTACACATTGTTGACGTCTGTTGAAATTCTTGTTTGGCAACGCCTGATGTATCTGTGTGCATGTATCGATGCAGATCGCTGGCATCCCCGAGTCTGGCGTATCGCGTGAGAGCCTTAAGCAGGCCGTTGAGAGCTTCGGGACGGCTTTGTACATCGACTTTTCCTTCGGGGCGCGCGAAGCCTGGATTAGGCGAGTAACATAACAGCTAAACGGTTGTAGGATGTTAAATTTACCTGGGGAGTGGGTGTGATGGTCCGCTCTCGTCGTCGCGTGAAGCCTGGCTTAGGCGAGTTATAGCTGTAACAACACCGCAGGATGTGAAAGTTTGGGGCGGTAGAAGGGATTCATTCGCATCGGCGACGATAGTAGTAGACCTGCCTTCGCCAAACAAAGCCGTACGTACGTACCTCGGTGGTTGGTGGTCTTGCATTGGGATGGTCTAACTTTGTGGAGTGAGGAGGAAGTTTGTTTCAACCGCGGTTGATTCTGACGCACCAATCAGGAGATACCGCATCCCAAGCTCGCGCGCCAACCCCCAAGTGATCGCCTGATCGGCCTTTGTGGGCTGTTTTGCGTCCTGTTGTTGGATGTGTTGGATGCCGTAGGCCTACCCCAGCCTGACATGACACTCCGTCCCCGAGTGACCTCGCAAGCTCCCGTAGCCTGCGTTTGTGTTGTATTTAATAGGTGTGTCTGATGCGCGTGCGCCCTCCACCCTTGTTGGCCTATTTTTTGTTACGCCCTTTGTGTGACGTTGCATGTTGTCTGATGGGTGTTCACCCTATTACCGTAAATGACACAAGATAACACACCCCCTGGACCGATTTCCAAAGCTCGATTACTTCACTAAGAGGATGCATCAACGAAATGATACATTTTTGGGAAGCTCTTGACGCCGGTTCCAACGCCGTCGATTTCGGCGCCGTGACTCTTTCTGTTGCTGAAAAATCGAAATTTGAAAATCGGTCCAGGGGGTGTGTTGTCTTGTGTCATGAAAGGTACTGTCGTGACGTGTTGTTGTTTTGTCCTGCTACTGACGCCGTAGTTGCGATCACCCCAACCCCGAAGCCATCCCCCTAAATTCTTTGTCCTGGTCGTTGGGCGTCGTCTGATGCGCTGTGTCGGTGGGGCAGGATGCAGAACCCGGCGGAAGCTGCAGCGACGGTGTCGGGTGCGAAGGAGACCGACGGGCTAACGCTAGCGGCGGAGGTGGAGGAGAAGGGAACGGTGTCGCTGCTGGAGGGGGCCGACGAGAAAGATTACTACGTGAGACTGACTCTGCGCTGTTGTTTTTGTTGTTGGGGTTATTTTTGTTTTTGATTTTGTTATTTGATTCTCGCTCATCAATCCGAACGCCCATGTGTGTCGTAGAGCGCCCTCCCTACATTCCTTTTTGTCGTGTCGTGTTACGTTTGTTCGTTACTTCGTAACGTTGTAGTTTGTCCTGTTTTTGTTGTCGCTGGTGCCTGTTGTTACTTTTTCTTTGCAAGTACAGTATACATACAATCACAGACGGTCTACGTACCCGTTCGAGATACAGTGGGGGTCCCTGTTTAGTGCCGGTATGTGCCCAGAAAATCCACCGGCACTATACCGAACGGGCACTATTCAAAGCACTGACAATGGCATGGACACTCAGTATGTGCCCACCGACATCACCGGCACTGCCATGTACGACACAAGATAGCACACCCCCTGGACCGATTTTTAAAGCTCAATTACGCCACAAAGAAGAGGCGGAAGAGACGAAACGTCTTATTTTCAGATAGCATTCAATGAGGCGGCTTCAACGCCGGCGTTTCGGTGGTGTGAATCTTCCTTTCTGCCGTTGAGAAAGCGAGCTTCGAAAATGGGTCCAGGGGGTGTGTTATCTTGCATCGTATTACCGGGAATCGGCACTGTTCAACCGACACTAAACAGGGACCCCCCCTCTGTAACATGACAGTTTTTTTTTTTTTCTTGCTGCTGGCTTTTTCGGGCAGGAACGCATGGAAAAGATGAGGGCAGAGCGGCTGAACCGTGGCAGGGGTCGCGGGCGAGGCAGGGGGAAGGGCCGCGGGAGGGGGGGGCGAGGAGGAGGAGGGCGTGGGCGTGGTCGCGATGGTGGCGACGGTGGCGGAGACTGAATTAGACCACAGGATGAAAGTATCGCATTGCAGTGTAGTCCGACCACAGAAAGAAAGTGTCGTGTGTGGCATCGCGGTGGGGGAGACTGAATGGGGCCTCAGACAGAGAGTGTCGCGCAGCAGTTGGGCGTGGACGGCAGCAGTGTTGAAGCAACAGATATATGCAGCGTTTTTAGTGGTGTTGTCGTGAGGGGGTTGCCGGGTTTTTTCAGGCAGCGCGGTAGGGAATTGGGCCATGTCGCGGAACTGTTCTATCAGGACTGGATGGCCTTGCAACTGCGATGGTGTTGTGACTTGGATAGTCTCGTGACTCTGATGGTGTTTTATGTGTCTGTTTGCACGGGAGTTTTTTCTTGGCATTCGGCGTTTGGTGGCCGTGTGTGCCTTGTGTGCCTTGTAGCTTGTGGCTGCTGCTGCGGCAAGGTCCGCTGGCCCGAACCTCTCGTCACCCGCGGGAGAGCGATAAGACCCTTGCGGGATGTCGTGGACACTGTCACACTGCGGCTGGTTGTAGGCCGAAAGCTTTTCTAATTGTTTGAAAGTAACAACCATGGGTCACGGTTGGGCGAGGTAGGAATGGACGGGTCGGGAAGACTGTGAAGAAAGGAAAAAAATCGACCAGTAGCGTGGTAATGGATAGAGGCAAAATTGATCCGCAAGTATTCATATGGTGGGGAAAAATTAGCGGCTCGAACCAAGGCGTTTTATGTGTGGGAGAGGTAAAGAGTAAGGTCGTGTGTGCGGCAGGGGGGGTTGTTGCAGGACCTCCATCGTTCTACTGATTTGTTGTACGATGGAGTACGCTAAACAATGATGAATATTCACGAATATTCCAGTTCCCGCAAGGAAATAATGCACCGCATAGTTTGGCGGATCCGGACCTGAACATGAGCAAGAAACACACAAGACCGACTGAGAGCAGACACACGAAAGGAACTGTTTCGGGCGACAGAATAAAAATAATCCGGTGCAATGCGGTGAATCATCACACACGTCAGCCGTTCGTATGCATGATGCAGGGGTAAGTTGTAGCAAACTGTCTGCATTACGCGATACGCGAACACGGGCTGGAGCTTCTCCTACCCGCCAGAAATGCTCTGTCTGAGTGCTGGTTCTTCTTCAAGTAATGAACAAAACAAAAATACACTGCCACGTGTGCCGAGCGTGCAGGAAGCATCTACTGGTGCTGTATCCGCCATGAGCTGGAAGTACGTACGGGAGGGGGGGCTCCGCGTCTTTTTATCGCTGAGCTGCCCACAGGGCCAAGGATTTGAATTGCGTTGGCATCACTGCATGTTTTCGTCGGAAATGTTGTACTCAACTAATTACTGTTGTAGGTCCTTCATCTGAATCATCTGGAGCTTTGACTTCGTTCCCAGTGTGGCTGGCGGTCCGTACCATTTTCCTTCTAGTCTTGGGGAGGCGAACCAAGAAGAAAACGACTTGCCAATCAAACGGAACGTCGATAATGGTGATTGCATAAGCACGATGTACTGCGCTAGTTTACCTTCCGCTCTTTTTCCAGAGACAGCACTCATCTTGAGAGAGGGAGCAAAAGGAGAAGGCGATGTTTTCCGAGACAAGGACGGAACATAACGCAACGACCAGCGGCATCCTCAGAAGCAGCTAGTAGCTTGTACGACATACTTTTTTTTTTCATTGAGTCCCACCCCAACTTCGGTCTCACGCAAAACATTGAGGTAGAGCCCAAGACTTTATTTTCTCCCACCCACGATATGGACCCTGTCAATTATTAGTCAAGGGAATGGCAAGAAGAATGAAAATGTGGTCTCATTCTTTTGTGTTCATTCAGGAAAACATTACGGTCTTGGTCGAGAAGCGCGTCCTACCAAATACAAGCGCACTTCTCGGATTGCTCATTGCATGCAGCGTGAATGCTGCTTATTTTACTCCAAACCAAGTCGATATGGCCGCTAGATAGTACTTCCACGAAGCTAAGGACTAACATCGCAGAGGGTGGACTACCACAACAACGCAGAGTTTGCTTTCCAAAGAAATGCCCCAAACCCTGCGTACTACTACTTGAACATGAAAAACGGATCATCAGTACCCTGCTTGCAAAAAAAAGATAGGAGAGAAATGGGCGTGCCATCGACTCCCATCACGTCTGTCTCTCCACAGACTAAATAGTAGAAACCCTCTCCCAATCAGTACACCCATAACTGCTGTCGCATTTCCGAAAACAAATTGAAGCCGTCCCGCGATTCAAACACGAACGATAGACGATAGAACACAGACAGACGCGTGCGGAGCAGTAGCTGTGGGTCACTCGGATAAATGGATGGGCTGCGACTGCACTCACTCACAGGGCACTTAACTCCTTCGCGAAGCAGACACCATTAAGACTTGCACACCAGTCGCCAACACGTCAAGAGAGCGAGGTCTAGGAAGACTCCACAGACAGAGCTAATGCCGTACATTATGCGCAGCAGTTGGGTTCGGGCCCACAACAAATGCAATCATCAAACACCTTCACCCCCACCCACACCCCCATCTTCACTCCCAAACATACCTTGACACACGCAACGAGGCCATCTGTCCATACTCACCGCTATACGGACTCTCGCCCCATACCCGTGACATGACCTACCACAAACGTTATAAATAAAGAAAAAGGGGCCCCGTCAAGACGACGCTGGAAAAAACAGCATGTACCCGCGGGTACGGGGAAAAAAGTACGGTCAACGCAATGGTCAGGTGACTAAGGCAATCAACACATTGAATATGACCCTCCCCGCTTCCCCGTCTCGCTTAAATCTCTACCCTAGATAAGTATATGCCTCTTACGAGCTCCATCCACATACAAGAATGTTGATTGTAGACCTACAATAGTAGACACCGTCTAATCCCCTGCCTGGTTTCTTGCTCTTTGCAGGAACGACTAGTTTCATGGACAAACCACAAGACCAAAGGGCAAGCACCACAGCATTCAAGTGCAATCTCGATACTTTCACGTACTACATATCTGCAAACATGGCACGGTTACGTTCTTTACTGTTCTTTGGCAATGAAGAAACACACAAAAACAACGATACCGACGAGCAAAAAAAAAAACGGACAGTTTTCTTCGTAGGAGGGGTGGCACTGCAGACTGAAAGTGGCGCCTCTCAGAGGCTGCAACCAAGACGGGAAAAAACAGCTACATGGCTCCCCGACGGAGCAGGCGTCCACCAGTCCTGGTGATGGTGACAGCGCCGCTTCCCAGGGCCCTTCCTTCCAATCCTATGCAGGCCACACTTTCACCGTTTCTCGTCGTTCTTGATCTTGCCACCGCAAACATGGCGGCACCACTTCTTGAGTTCTCCCGAAGCGGCACCGACAGAGCCGACCCAAGCCCTCGTCCGTCTCCCTATGCTGTAGGGAGTCCCAGATGAAGTTGGACTCTTGGCAAGAGGTTCTACCGCGCTCATTCGTCGCAAAAACAACTGCTCGGCGCATGCCCGGAAGGTGAACTCTACCCTACCCCCACCAAGTACGATGATCTCACACGACTCGCACGCGCTGCGCGGTCCATGGGGGCCTGCCTCGACCAGCCGACGCCAATTGATGCACCCAACAGGCACTAAACAGTACTCGTACAGACGCTTTGCCGTCCTAGTCCTCCAACATCGAGAACAACAACGCAGGCACGATGTCGCACACCTCTGTCTTGCTGTCTCACCCATCCTTTCTGAGCTCTCGCCGCAAGCCCCAACAAATGTGACGAACGAGCCTTATCTCCAACACCGCCGCCGCCGCCGCCGCCGCCCTCTATTGCCCCACGGCACCCTCTTAGTGCCACACGGCACCCCCTCGTACCTCACGGCACGCCCTAGTGCCCCATGGGGGACCATCACAGTCCATGGCACCTCCTAGTTCCTCACGGCCCCCCCTCGAGCAGGCTGGTGCTGGTGCGCCGCCCCGAAGGCCAGGGCGCCAAGGAACGCGGCCGTCGCGGTTGCGAGCGGCAACACCAGGCTGCCGGGCCCCCGGAGCATACCGGGGTCGGCCGCGCTGGTGGTGCTATTGACGAAGTCGTTGGCGTTTCCGGCCAGGAAGGGCACCGGGGTCGGCATCAGAGTCAGAGCCGGAGCTGGTGTCGGAGCAGGCGTTGCTGGGAGAGAGAGGGGGGGG